ATGTCCACTTAATTTTTCAGTGATCTCTGAACTTGAAGTCTCACAACATTGGTTTACAACCTGTAATTGACACAAATAAGCTTTCATTACTAAAATTAAAGTTATCGAGTGCTTTATTCAACATGTCATATCCCTTTACCTTGAAACTGTCCATTATAAAATTTAAAAACGTATACAAAAGTAAAGAGAACAAGATAATTAACCTCTTGTATTCATCACCCAGTCTCAACATTTATCAACACGTGGGCACAGATAAAATAAGACTGACCTCCCAGTCCTCATCATAAGGATCATTTTGAAGCAAATTCCACATCATTTCATCTATTTACTTCAGCATATGTCTAAGAATTAAGAGCACTTTAAGACAAATATCCTATTTAAAAATTTAACATTTATTCCTATAGATCAAATGTCTAGAGTATTCAAATCTCACCAAATGTTTTCCCCAATTGGTTTGTATGAACCAGAATTCATCACTAGACACTGAATATATCTTAATTAAGTGACTATATAATTTTTATCCAAACTAGGACACTTTTCAAAGCAATAAGCCCTATTCCTAATAATTACTCCAACATAACAGATATAAGGAAGGATTGTCTCAAGCAAACTAAGACTTAAGATTCTTTTGATCTACAAGTTATCCTTCCTCATCTTTTTTCCTTTAAAACTATTGTTGAAAAAAATCAGGTTTTTACCCTTTTGGATATCTCAAATTCTGGATTTGGTCTATTGCATTGCTATCCCATATATATTCCTATGTTCATCTGTATTTTCTATAAACTGGTTAAATTTACAGGCTTGATCTAATTCAGGTTTAATTTCTGTAGGCCTATTTCACAGGTGGTACTTCAGGCATACAATGCCCTGGTTATATCTGAAAGATTAATAGTGGGGCCAGATGAGGTGGTGCACACCTGTAATCCCAGAGGCTTGAAAACCTGAGGTAGGAGGATCACGAATTCAAAGCCAGCCTCAGCAAAAGCGAGGCACTAAGCAACTCAGTGAGACCCTGTCTCCAAGTAAAATACAAAACAGGGCTGGGGATGTGGCTCAGTGGTCTAGTGCCCCTGAGTTCAATTCCTGGAACCCTGACTCTTTATATATATATATATATATATATTAATCACTGGGTTCAGAAGTAGTTACACTATTAGAAAGTTCCTCTTAATCTCTCCCTTAACTCTTGAACATCTGATAAAATGATTTACCAATCATTAATGGCCACAGAGGTTATTTCATTGGGAGTTGCAAAGTGATGATATTCTAATTGTATCATTTTTCCTTCATTTTACTTGCTGAGATTCTATGAAATACTTTTCTTTATCAATTATCCTGTTAAACCAAGATATGGCTCTTTGAAGAAAAAATAAATGGATGTTGTTTCTCCTTATTTACCTGTTTTCAAAATAATGCATTGTTTCCCTAGCATGATCCAAAAGAAACCCCTGAAATTTTAATGAATTAATTAGCTTTAATATAATTGATGTGTTTTTATCTATTGTAGTCATTAATTTTTTTTTTTTTTTTTTTTTTGGTGGTGGTAGTGCTGGGGCTTGAACCCAGGTGCTTGTGCATGCAAGGCAAGCACTCTACTGAGCTATATATCCCCAGCCCTCATAATTGTTGTTTTTTTAATGGTTTTTTTAGTTGTCGATGGACCTTTTATTTATTTATTTATTTATATGTGGTGCTGAGAATCCAACCCAGTGCCTCACACATGCTAGACAAGAGGTCCACTACTGAGCCACAACTCCAGCCCTAATTATTCTTATTGATGCTCCATTAAACCATCTTAGAGCAGGGGAATGCTAGCAGGTTGGCTATTAAATTCTTTGGACACAACTTCAAGATTCTTTCATAGCTTCCTTCTGGTATGACTTGTTGTCTAGGCTCATAATCCTGTATGTTTTATTGTCTGTTATTTCTCTATGAACCCTGGTTCTTCTCCTTATCCCAGGTTGTTTATATAACTTAAAATACTTAAATTCTTTGAGTCTACTTTCTGAGAACATAGTGAAATCCTTTTATTGATCAGAAAAGAAAAACAAATCATAAAGGACTTAAGCAAGTGTTAAGTTCAAGCAAACCCACAAGCCTATCAAGTATCCTTTGAGCAACCAAACCAAATCCTAAATTCTTAAAACAACAATAGGCTTGAAAGTACCTGGAGAAAAGTAAATACAAATGGAAAGTATTAAATATTTAAAGACAGAGTGCCCTTCCCTAAAGAAATAAGTAAAAAAATCAAGGTTAGATATAAGACAGAAATTGGATATTACATTAGGCATGTAGAAGACACATACCAAAGCATAAAACAAGATCATGTATAAGCATACCAAGTATTTTACTTAAAAGTTTAAGTCGGGCTTGGGTTGTGGCTCAGCAGTAGAGCGCTCACCTAGCACGTTCGAGGCCCTGGGTTCGATCCTCAGCACCACACAAAAATAAATAAGTAAAATAAAGGTATTGTGTCCAACTACAATTGAAAAATAAATATTTTTTTAAAAAAGTTAAGTCATTATGTCTTAAAATATAATTTGTTTTGAAATCAGTTCTAAGCTAAGAATATTTAATTTTCTGATTATAACTATTCTCCCCAAAGTAGGTTCCAGGTACAAAATTATTACCTCCAACATGTTCTGGAGTTCCTCTTCCCTTTTATTTAAGCAAGATACCCACTGTTCAGAAAAACAAGCTGTGCTTGTAGTCAGAGACTTGCATCTCTGTTCAGTCTCTTGAAATATTTTTTCCAGGTTACTACTGAGTGTATCACAGTGTTTCACAGACTCTTCAACCAATTTTCTACCTTTTTGGTTAAAATGTCTGAGTTCTTGAGACAAACCATCGGAATTAGTACCAAATTTTTTACTGTGAAAAGTTGTTTTCTTGATTATATCCTTAGATTTCCTAGAAAAAAGAAAATATCATTGTTGAAATGGGAAACTAAGACTCAAAGGATATATACCTTCCCAAGATTATATACCTCTCAAGTGACAGATTTGATGCAGGTAGTGTGGCTCCTGCTCTAAATGAATCTTCTAAATTCATAAAGAGCAGACTGACATCACCTCTACCATTAAATGACTTTTGAAAAAGTGGTCATTTCTCATAAAACCTTTCCCAGCCCTCTTCCAGATATGATGCTTCTGTTTGTAGTTCTCACAGTATTTATCTAGATAGTTACTAAAATGTCAAAAGCAGTTATAATCATTGTACATGAGTATCACCCAGATTTCCTAGGTAATTCTAGTGAGTATACACATAGCATATATAAAATATAGGAAAATAATGACACAGGCACAGGAAGAAATGGGAATATACTATTATAAAGCCATTTTATTAACATGAAAGAACAGATTATTTGATGATAGATTTAAGTTATTTTAAAACACTATATGAGGTATAAGTCAATGTAAGAGAGAAAATGAAAATATAAAAATGTTCAATTTAAATTAAGAAAAAGAAAGGGGAAAAATGAAATAAAGAACAAATGATGCAAGAAATAGAAAACAGCAGATCTACAGATTTTAATATGATTATGTTAACTTTCATTTTAAATGCAAGTGGTCTAAATATATGATTAGAGCCACAAATTGGGGGCTCTGGCATGGTAGCACTTGCTTAGCATGTATGAGGTCTGGAGTTTGCTCCTCAGCACCATACAAAAGAAAAAAGGAAAAAAAAAAGAAGTCCATATTGTTAAGTTTGACAAAAAAGAGCAGCTAGCTATATTTTGTCTATAAAAAACATATTTTAAATATAAATATTTAGGCCAAAAGTAAAGGGATGGAGAAAGATACATCATGCAAATAGCTACCAAAGGAAAGCTGAAGTACCTATATTAATTTCAGATAAAACAGACCAGAACACGGAGGATTACCAGGGATAAAAAGGGATCTTTGCTGGGAATGGTAGCACATGTCTATCATCCCAGCAATAGAGGCAAAAGGATCCTAAACTGCCAGGTGCTGTGGCACACACCTATCATCCCAGTTGCTTGGAAGGCTGAGGCAGTAGGATTGCAATTTCAAAGCCAGACTCAGCAAAATCAACGTGCTAAGCAACTCAATGAGACCCGTCTCTAAATAAAATACAAAATAGGGCTAGGAATGTGGCTCAGTGGTCAGGTTCCCCTGAGTTCAATCCCTGGTACAAAAAAAAATCCTAAATTCCAGGCCAGCCCCAGCAACTTATAAAGTTGATTATAAAATAAAAGTTACAAAATGGGTTATAAAAATGCAATAATAAATAAAATACCTTACTGATGAGTTCAACAGTAGTTTAGAAATTATAGAGGAAGACTAAGTGAACTTGAAGAGAGGTCAATAGAATTGACTGAATTTGAACAAGAAAGATGTATGTTTATCTACTTATCTGAATAAAAGATATAAAGCTTTCTCTTCAGGGGCCATAATAAAAGAGCTAACATTATGTCATCAAAAGTCACAGAAGGAAGCTGGGTGTGTAATCTCACAAGCCTTAATGTAATCCCAGTGACCTGGGAGGCTGAGGCAGGAGGATAGAGAGTTCAAAGCCAGCCTCAGCAACAGCAAGGCACTAAGCAACTCAGTGAGACCCTATTTCTAACTAAAGTACAAAATAGGGCTAGAGATGTGGCTCAGTGGTCAAGTGCCCCTGAGTTCAATCTCCAGTACCAAAAAAAAAAAAAAAGGTCACAGAAGGAGAGGACAGAGTGTACGGGTCTAGAAAATATTCAAAGAAATAATAGATGAAAATTTCCACATTTGGTGAAAGGCACAGCCAACAGATTACAGAAGCTGAACAAATCGAATAGGGCACACTGAAATAAATACATTAAATAGACATGTAATTATATTTCTAAAAATTAAAGATGAAGAAAAAATTTTTAGAAGCAGCTGCAGATAATCTGCCAATAGGGGAACAATTACTTTAATAATGAAAATCTGATCTTATGGAGGCCAGAAGGAAATGGAAGAACATATTTCAAATACTGAAAAAAAGAACTCAATCCTGAATATTACATACAATAAAAATATCTTTCAGGCTTTCCGCTCCGGGAGCCATTGGAGAGCAGCAGCCATGGCTCTGCGCTACTCCACGGCCGTAGGCCTCAACAAGGGCCACAAGGTGACCAAGAAAGTGAGCAAGCTGAGGCACAGCCGCCGCCACGGGCACACCAGGTTCGTGCGGGACATGATCCAGGAGGTGTGTGGCTTTGCCCCCTATCAGCATTGGGCCATGGAGCTGCTCAAGGTCTCCAAGGACAAAGGGGCCCTCAAGTTCATCAAGAAAAGGGTGGGAACACACATTCGGGCCAAGAGGAAGCGAGAGAAGCCGAGCAACGTCCTGGCCGCCATGAGAAAGGCAGCTGCCAAGAAGGACTGAGCCCCCTTTCCTCAATAAATCATCCCAGAAAACAAAAAAACAAAAAAACAAAAAAAAAAGTCTTTCAGGGATGAAGGTGAAATCAAGACATTCTCAGACAAAGGAAAACAGAATCTGTGGCTTGTAAACTTGTCCTATTCTAAAGGAAGCTTGAGATTTCCATAAGGAAAAATTAAAAGGGTAAAAATATGGGTAAGTAGAATATCCTTCTCATGAATTTAAAATATACATAGGAAAAAAAATTGAAACTTAACAAATCTTATGAACTTTTAAATACATATGTATACATACTTTAAAATAGATCATGGACTTAATGACTTACTGTAAAATATTGAGATGGGAGTGGGTATAGCTCAATGGTAGAGCACTTGCCTATCATGTGTCAAGGGCTCTAGGTTTGATCTCTAATACCAAACATACATACACCAACCTAAATTTAATTTCAAGTAAAACATGAAATTCTAAAACTGCTAAAAGAAAACATAGGGGATACAGCTCAGTAGCAGGGCACTTGCCTATCATTGAGGTCCTGGGTTCAATATGGTAAGTATACAGGACTGACAAGCAATGAGGCTATAAAACCACAGAAAACCCTAATGCAGGTATAAGCATTAGGCTTTTTCTTAAAAAGCCAGACGTAAAGTATTTTAGGTTTATGGTGCAATGATTCTGATGACAACTATACTGCTGCAGTGCACAGGCAGTCAAAGACAACATGTAAACAAACAGGTAAATTATAAACAAATTGTTTATGATTACAGGAATCCAGCCCATCAGCCATTGTTTACCTAACCCTATTCCAGTTAGTAAGCATATTTTTTTAATCAGTGATGTAGATTAGAAATTTTGAAATTACTCAACATGTATTTTAAGACTGAAAAATAAGAAAATATATTGGGCTGGGGTTGTGGCTCAGTGGTAGAGTGCGTGTCTAACATGCGTGAGGCCATGGGTTCAATCTTCAGCACCACATAAAAATAAATAAATAAAATAAACGTGTTATTTAAAAAAAAATAAGAAAATATATTAACTCTTAGCATAAGAGTTAATAATAATGGGACTTACTTAAACTAAAAAGTTTTTTCTCAGCAAGAGAAACAATAAGAGAGGTAAATAGGGAGCCTACATCATGGGAACAAATTTTGACTCCTCACACTTCAGATACAGCCCTAATATCCAGAATATACAAAGAACTCAAAAAATTAGACAATAAGATAACAAATAACCCAATCAACAAATGGGCCAAGGACCTGAACAAACACTTCTCAAGAGGAGGACATACAATCAATCAACAAGTACATGAAAAAATGCTCACCATCTCTAGCAGTCAGAGAAATGCAAATCCAAACCACCCAAAGATACCATCTCACTCCAGTAAGATTGGCAGCCATTATGAAGTCAAACAACAATAAGTGTTGGCGAGGATGTGGGGAAAAGGGTACTCTTGTACATTGCTGGTGGGACTGCAAATTGGTGCAGCCAATTTGGAAAGCAGTATGGAGATTCCTAGGAAAGCTGGGAATGGAACCACCATTTGACCCAGCTATTCCCCTTCTCGGACTATTCCCTAAAGACCTAAAAACAGCATACTACAGGGACACTGCCACATCGATGTTCATAGCAGCACAATTCACAATAGCTAGACTGTGGAACCAACCCAGATGCCCTTCAATAGATGGATCATCAATGGATTAAAAAAAATGTGGCATTTATACACAATGGAGTACTACGCAGTACTAAAAAACGACAAAATCATGGAATTTGCAGGGAAATGGATGGCACTAGAGCAGATTAGGCTAAGTGAAGCTAGACAATCCCTAAAAAATAAATGCCAAATGTCTTCTTTGATATAATGAGAGCAACTAAGAACAGAACAGGGAGGAAGAGCAGGAGGAAAAGATTAACATTAAACAGAGACATGAGGTGGGAGGGAAAGGGAGAGAAAAGGGAAATTGCATGGAAATGGAAGGAGACCCACATTGTTATACAAAATTACATATAAGAGGTTATGAGGGGAATGGGATAATAAATAAGGAGGAAAATGAATTACAGTAGATGGGGTAGAGAGAGAAGATGGGAGGGGAGGGGAGGGGGGATAGTAGAGGATAGGAAAGGTAGCAGAATACAACAGTTACTAATATGGCACTATGTAAAAATGTGGATGTGTGACCGATGTGATTCTGCAATCTGTATTTGGGGTAAAAATGGGAGTTCATAACCCACTTGAATCTAATGTATGAAATATGATATGTCAAGAGCTTTGTAATGTTTTGAACAACCAATAAAAAAAAAGAAAATATGTGAACAAGAGTCAAATTTTTCACTGCCTGAAAAGAAGCACAAATATGGATAGAAAGCTATTTATGTGTTTATACACTTAAGTTATACCCACATACATACTAACTTGTTAACAAATGAGAAATTTACTTGAAAATATATAAGAACTATATGCACTATTTGAAACTTTTTTTCTAAAATAATTCAGAAGACTTATAGAAAGTTGAAAAGAATTTAAAAATAGCTTACTGCTCTGTATTTTCTTGGACATTCTTGAGTGGTTTCTGGATGTTTTTACACTTTTCCTCCAAAGTACAGAATCTCTCTGCCCAAAGATTGATTAACTGGCAAAGCTCCTATAAGAAGATGGGAGAAAGGGAAAAGACTTGTAATTATGACAGTTGAACACTTTTTTCTGCATATGACTGATGGATGACATGAAGTCTTCTTCTCTAGGTGAGAATAATATAAATTCTTGAGAAGCTCTTTAACTTCACTTCTCTCCCATAGAGGAAAGAAGTGAAAGTGATTCCAAAAGGGTAGTATTTATAGATATTTTTTAAAAAGTTAAATAATTATAATTGCAAACTTTGCTGTTTTAATTGTTAGTAACAAATTACTTTTATTATACTTCAAAACACATATCACATTATGTTTGAGAACCATTGTGACAGGTACATAGTTACTTTCTAACTGATGATAATACCAGAAAGGGAAATTAATGATGATAACTTAATGGGTCAAGCAATCCAAAAATATTAATTACTGAAACTAAAAAAATTTATAGGATCTAGCTGAGTTTTATTAATAAAATATAATTAGATTCTTATATTTTTACTTATACATAATATCTTTAAAAACAAGTTCTTATAGGCACATAACATGCCACATTGCAAAATGAAGAAGCTACACTAAAGATTACAAGGAGGGCTGGGGATGTGGCTCAAGTGGTAGCGCGCTCGCCTGGCATGCGTGCAGCCTGGGTTCGATCCTCAGCACCACATACAAACAGAGATATTGTGTCCACCGAAAGCTGAAAAATAAACATTAAAAAAAAATTCTCTCTCTCTCTCTCTAAAAAAAAAAAAGATTACAAGGAAGAGTTGGAAACATATCCAGGACTTATATTTACTGTTCATTCCACTTAATATCTCTTAATATATACCTAACATTCTGATTGTGAAAAAGTCTGTTAGTAATTCTACTAGTCCAAAAGTAGAGGGTAATACAGTATTATCAGATTTATCTACAATATGTGTTCAAAGTTTACACAATTGTTTCATTAGTGTTCACTTTAAATTCTAGAAAACCTAAGGAATAGTTCACTTAGTAAATTTGCTTCTTTAAAGCCAGGGAAATCAAAGCATTCATGTAAGATATATTTTGGATCAAGTTTCCTATTTGGCTACCAATTTTAAGCATTACAAAACAGCTAATTTATTAAAAAATGATCGGCCTTAGAATATGACATATATTTTTTTGCAAGCTTAAAAGTAGCTTAAAGACAAATCGATGGAATTTACCAAATCTCAACAACAAATCTATATACATATATATAAAAGAAAGAGAAAGATCTATACAACTCTTCCCTCAGGAATTACATACAATAAAAGATCTATATATGTATAGGTATCTACAAAGTTGTAAATAGATTTAAGGCAGATACCCTACATAGAGGTATAAGAAATTACTGCAATTTCAAATTGCCAAGAAATGTATAAAAGAGGCACTCACAAATGAATGCCTTTTAGGCATATGTAATATGTAAAATGAAATATTGTTTGAGCTCCCAAGGTCTCAGTGTCATCATTAGAAAACTAGGCAAGTCATAGAATCTGTATCTGTATTGATGGGAGGAATAAACAGAATACACAAATGTTAAGTATAATTTTTACTAATTTCTGATGTTAATCCTCCCTGAAAAGTTTCATGCTTATCTATTTCAAAAACTAATATTCTATTTTAAAGTTGTTGTATTTCATAACTAAAAACCTTGATGTGTTTCCCCCTCTCGTTTTGATTGACATAGATATGAATTCCTCCCCACCTCCAAAGAAAAAGAACTCTTTTTTGCTCACTAAATCATGTCAACAGTTTTCAGTTTTATTGACCACAGTGCTGTCATTTCATGATAGGCTAATTTAATAAAACTTTAGATTTTCATTATTACTCAAATCTTTTTTTTTTTTTTAGAATTTTTAATATTTATTTTTTAGTTTTTGGTGGACATAACATCTTTATTTGTATGTGGTGCTAAGGATCGAACTCAGGCCGCAAGCATGCCAGGCAAGCGCGCTACCGCTTGAGCTACATCCCCAGCCCCATTTCTCAAATCTTAATCATAATAGAAGTTTTTTCCCATATATCTGGTAATAGAGATTATGGTTTGAAGGTTTGGCTTTAGTTTAAAGCTGCACATATTGAAAAATAGTTTACATGGAAGAGAAGTCATGAATTATATTTATAATCAATCATTAAAAATTAAAAATTGTATTAATTTACTAGAATTTAAATATCTGTCACCAATGAGACAGAAATAATAAAGAGAGCAGGTGCAGTGGCGCACGCCTATAATCCCAGCAGTTGGGGAGGCTGAGATAAGAGGATTGCAAACTCAAAGCCAGCCTCAGCAACTCAGCAAGGCCGTCAGTAACTTAGGAAGACCCTGTCTCAATATGAAAAATATAAAAGACTGGGGATGTGAGTCAGTGACTAACTGTCCCTGGGCTCAATTCCCAGTACAAAAAAGGAGAAAA